TTTTATACAAATTGAACATTAATTTAAGTGAATTAATAATAACAACAATAAATATATAACTCAATGATTAGCTGAAGACTAGATTTTGTGTAATATTTGTATTGATGTGTAATTTGTTGTTGAAAAATGACATTGTTGATTTTTGTTGGTCTGATAATGAGCTAAACATTTCAAAAATGTGAATTGAGATGAATTTTAATGATATATTAAAGTTAGAGAATGTCTACCGACAAGAAGAAAGACATCGTTGAAAAACATTGAAAACTTGTATGTTTTGTGTTTCCGCTCTTCAAAAACATGCAATTTTATGCACAAATCATTTCCTTTCGCCCAAAAATATGGGACCTTTTGTTTCATATAATGATAACTATATTTTTGTGTCGAAATAGATATAAGAATTCAATGAATTAATGATTTATGAGAAAAAATCCAGAATTTCTATAAGAATTTGTTATTTTTTTTGGTTAAGAATTATTTTGTTTCGCATTGAAATGACTGGAAAATTATTACATAATTTTAATAACTAATATATTATTCACAAATATCTCATTGAAAAATTCATTGATTTCTTTCAATAATAATTATCACATTATATTTTTTATCTGATGTACAAACAAATGATTATTAATTAAATCCACTGATTATTGACTGTGTCTTTGATAATAGGGTTAATACCTCTGTATTTGAAAATGGTTTTGAAAAATGTTTTGCGTTTTAAGCGATGTATTGTTTGGCAAAACAAGCAAAACATGGATATATTATATTAAATTGTAATCTAAATAAACAAAAAGTGTTTCATATAAGAGACTAGCGATAGATTAGAAGAAGACTTTGAAATATAATTTCAATTCTACACAGAATTTCGTAAATTCATAACAATTATGTGCATATAATATATGTATAGAATTTGGTGTTAAGCCTATGAGCGAACCCAACCCGGCGTTTGGGGTCTGAAAAATACAAATACACACAAAATGAGATATAATTAAATACCATCATATTATTTATATCGATAATTATGGTAACAATTGAATTACATGGAAACGGGAAAGTCCTGTAACGCCTGCCGGACCGACGAGAATATGTTTCGGTTCTCCTCTTTATAGCTCTCGACACAGAGTTGTTGTAATTTATTTAAATAAGAGTCAAAATTGTCTACATTTGGCTTCAGAAGCCACTTCAAACCATAAGCCGTGACTAGATTCTTTCACTACTTTAACAAAGCGTTGCTGAGCATTATCAGCAAATCAACCTGGCAGGCGACTCGGTTGCTGACCAAGAGGATATGTAAGTTTTCGCATTAATTATAATTAAAACAATCAATGATATAATCAATGGTACATTCAATGATGTGAATAGACTCACCCTCTCTGAGCTCTTCACCTGTTCCTCCATGTGATTGATGTCGAGCTTGAGTTTCAACATTTCTGACTCCACTTTGGAGTTGTATTCCTGTAATTCTGTGATCTCGTCGTCCAATACACGCATGTCTTCGTGTGTTCTTCGGTGAAGTTTGGTATTCGGCACTGATCTAAGAAAGTGATGAAATTGTTTCGCAACGACTCGTAATAGTCGTTTAGTTGGACCGTCCGCTGAGCCAACGACTGGTTCTCCTATACATTCAAAATATATTAGTTATAATTAAAACAATCAGTGATATTATCAATGGTAACATCAATAGTACAATCAATGGTACATCCAATAATGTGAATGGACTTACCCTCTCGGAGCTCTTCACCTGTTCCTCCATGTGATTGATGTCGAGCTTGAGTTTCAACATTTCTGACTCCACTTTGGAGTTGTATTCCTGTAATTCTGTGATCTCGTCGTCCAATACACGCATGTCTTCGTGTGTATTATCCAAAGCCATCCCCGGATGGAGTGAATGGCTGTCGTAATGCGTGCCGTTGTATGTCATGGGATTGTGAGGCGAAAAGTTGGTTATATTGATAGTATTGGTCAAATCGTCCAATTTGTTCATCGGCTTAGTCTTGAACAGACCGTTGGCCGGGTTAGCCCGCGGACAGCCCGATAGACTCCGGTGTGTGAGAAAACTGCCCGTCGCGTGACCGCTGCCGTCGCAACCTATATGCACGTCGAGTTCAATCAGATCCCGGTTTGTTAGTTACCGTGTATTTATAGTTATTCATTTGAAGGGCTACTGACCGGGTGTGGGACAGACCGGACCATCAGTTTTACTGATCTGTGGTCGAAGTGTCCGCTCCTGTCTCTCCTCTTCCATACTGTGTTGAGACATGTCTTGGGATATGGAGTCGGATCTCATTTTGTTACGATTAGCCACTGGACAACCAGAGGCACTGTTTTTAAAGATCCCATAATTGTTTAGTCAATGTTTCATTTAAAACACAAATTTAAAAATAAAGTATCAATTATTTGAATTATAAAAAGCAAACTTAAGTTATAAGCAAATACTTAAAATTAACAATTAAACCAAAAAAGCACATAAATATGTATTAATTAAAAATGAATGGTTTGAATGATTAGGATTTACAAAACAAAAAGTAATAGATATTCAGAGTATAAACAAATTCAACATAGATTTGAATCGAGAGATGAGTTTTTGAATAAATTAATGAATAAATACAAAAAGAAATAGAAGAAAGAGTTGGTTTTGAATACGGACTTCAAGTTTTTGGTTTGTTTTAATTGTTTTGCATTCAAATGCATATTCTTCTCAACACTAATACCTTCTATGAGTCGTGAATTTGCCAGTTATATGACCGGATCCGTCACACGTGGCCACTGGGCAACTGTTATCGGCCGCACATATGTGTGCAGACATATGGCAGCGACAAAAAATTTAAGATAATAGAAAATTGTGAAAAAATGTTTTCTTATAGTAAACCAATCATTCAAATCAAATCAATTAATAATCAATTGTTTGTAAAAAACATTTAAAACAAGACTTTCAATAGCAAAATAAATAGCAAAATGTATTAATTAAGCCAAAAAACATGTTCAATACAACGCTTACCGCAACTGTTCCGCATCGGACTGTTTCTCAATCTCGCGAACGAGTGGCCCCTTCTTTGATTGCTTACTCCGCGGACATCCGCTGAGACTCCGATGACTGGTATAGTTGCCGGTGATATGTCCCGAACCATCGCAGCCCACTGTCGGACACTTGAGCTCCTGGTGCTGGGCCTGCACTACGGACCGGTCGGCGTGCGGACAGCCAGAGAGACTGGTATAACAATAGTCACCCGCTATAGTAAGTCTGTCTCTTTGTGGTATATATGGTCCATACCTGCGATGGGTGGCATAGTTTCCCGATATGTGTCCCATACCGTCGCACCCGATGGTCGGGCACTGGAGTAGTTCGCGGCCGTCGCGCACTCTGGACACCGATTGGCGCATCATTTTGTTTGGCGGTCCATCGCCGTCGCCCTCGCAGTCGCTGTAATCGTCGGTATTATTACTATAGGAGCGGACACTCGACGACTCCTCCGGCGACGGACTCCTGAGCGGCAGATAGTTGTGACTCAATAGAGATGACGAGTTGTTGGCGCCGACGGA